ATTTGGAGTTTAATGACTTTTCCTTTAGAGTCAATACTGTTTTTGCTCATGCTATATGCAGCAGCATTAAGGCTTTTATTTGGCTTGAGTGGGATTTTCATAGACATAACCATGTCAAACTGTGGTAATGTTTTGGTTTAACTACTATGGGCTGGCTGTTAGTAGGCTCTAACTATCTATAAGTTATCTTTTGAAAGCAAAATTACAACAAAAGTCAGTCATGATATATCCAAAATGATTGGTGGTTAGTAGCTAAACATATCTTGTTGAATGTACATTGACCCATATAATTGAGTCAAAAGAGGGTTGTTGTTATTGTGAACTGCTTAAGATTGTGATTATGCTGGACTTGGGTGTCATACGGAGGCTCTGGCCTTGGACAACATTGGTAGCCAGAAGTGATTATGAGAATGATGTTTTACTCCCAACTATAGTCCATTGATGGTTCTCAAATCCAGAAGTGAACCAAGCTGAATCCAGTTCCACTGTATCAGTTGGTTCTTCATTTATGTCAATGGTAAATACAAGTTTCAGCCCACCAAACAAGTTTATGTCTTCTTGGAATTTGATTGTAACAGGTTTCATTTCTTAGAGAGTTAACAGACAGTATGTTGTTGATTGAAGCCTAGCTTCTTTTTTTCTTCCATTCCTTCCAGTATTCAAGAGAGTGAAAAATGTTTCAAGTTGCATCTTGTTCTTCTTTCTTTTCTCATTGCTTTTATTGTTAGATGTCTGATACTGTTTTACGTTGATTTCAGAGGATTGCTGAAACATTGGATGTTGAGATCAAGCGTTGGGCTGCAGGAAAAGAGGGGAATCTCCGTGCACTGCTATCAACACTACAATATGTGCGTTTGTTTTTTGGATCCTATATGATCACATCCAGCATAATTCTTATGTGGAGAATAATTTATGGATTACCTTTGCTAAGTGGGTTTTTCCATATCCTTTATTGATATCTTTTGTCCCAAAAAAAAAAAAAGCATACCCGGTATCTCGTGCATCAATATTAAACAGATTTAATTTTTTGGCTACTGCAATTTATCGCATGGTAGTATTATTCAACATCTAGCTGTCCATTGTCTTTTTATCTTAGAACTTATTTGAACCTTTAGGCTCTTGAAGTAATAAATAATAGTCCTTGTAGATTTGTGGAGCACCTCATTTCTGGTGAGTTTGCCAGTGTTTCCTAAAATTATTTTCCATCTTATTGAAACTGAAACCTTGAAAGAGCTTATGAACACGAAATCTTCTCATCCACGAGGATTCCTTTTTCTTTGCTTCCTTTCCTTTCCTTTATCTGTCAATTAAGATGACAGATCTGGCTGCTCCCCCAGTTCACTTCTTTCTTTACAATGCACATGCTACTTTCAGGTGCTGAGTTTTATCCTAGATGCACCTTTGATTTTGTCAAAATAAGAAAACTGATTTGTATATGTTGTTTCTCTTTGGTTAATTTGTGAATTAAAAAAGATGAAGAAGGTAAGACCGTAATGTAGCCTTGAAGATCCTAGGTTGAGCTCTTCCATAAAACATGTTATGAGTTCCGAACGTCAGAATAATTATGTTTAGCTGTATGTGATCATCACTTCTGTGATCTTTAGCTGTTGGTTAATTATAGCACTTTCTTTATTGTTGGTCATTGTAAAGTTAAATATTGTTTTCATCTCTGTTTCTAAAGTAGTTTGTGCAATGATCAGGTGCTATGGCCTGAATGTGGATGGCAGCCTGTTTCCTTGACCGATTTGATCACTGGCGCAGCAGTTAAGAAAGCATATAGAAAAGCAACCTTATGCATTCATCCTGATAAAGTGCAACAAAAAGGAGCCAATCTTCAACAAAAATACGTTGCTGAGAAAGTGTTTGACTTGCTTAAGGTATTTCTTCAATCTCTGTGTGGCAAAGGAAAAGCATTGCGGGTCTCTCTCTGTGATGTGTGAAAATACTTGTATTGGCCTCTCAATCTCATTGCCTTGCTCTCATCATGAGTTTCTTCTGTTAAAATAGGAAGCATGGAACAAGTTCAATTCAGAAGAGCTTTTCTGAAACCCTGTGATTAATATTCTGCTCCGAGTACTCGATCTGGACAGTGGAAATGCTCAACTCTTATGGCAGATGTGTTTTTACTCTTACATCCGCAGCAGTTGTCGATTTGATTGATACTTGAGAACATAAAGCTGATGGGAGAGGGAAGCTTGGGAGGTTTCTTTTAAATGGTTGAGATGCGCACCGGCCCTCCCTTGATTCAGGCTGCTGTAAATCATGTTCAAGCTGACACAGCACCTGAAAGTTAGGATGCTTCTTCATGTAGGGTTGTCGGCCTTCGACACGACTGTCGAATTTAGTTGCCAAAGCCTATTTTGCGTGGGATGGAAGTGGTCTTTTTGTGTTAATTCTTTTTTACAATCATATTTTTTTTTATGGGTTACCCGTTTAGTGGTAGAGCGTGATATATTGAGTGATGCCATATATGTTAATCGATATCAAACGACGATATATTGGCTTTGTATGATTATTTTTGATCCAATAACTCAGCCCTACATTTCACACTTTTATTTTATGCATGCAACCCCGCCCCCCCGTTTCTCTTTGCTTTCCTTTCCTTTCTTCATGTACTGTAAGATTTAAAACTTCTTTCAGTAGCTTTCCAGGTAATAATACACAAGCCACATCTCTGAGAAAGCCAAATGCAATAGCTCCAAAGCAAAATCAACACCGCCATTGTTCCATGATGTTTTGTCAAACAAGCAAGAACGCGCTGTATGCATCAACTAGACATCTTCCTGTGATTATTACAAAAGAAAAAAGAAAAAACAAACTATATAACCACCTCAAAGGTGCTGCAATCCTGACAAACAATAAATAATGCAGTTAAACCAAATCTAGTTTCAATGCGAAACTTTGGTTTCAATCTACAGCCACGGTCAAGATGTTCCTCGTGGGCTCCTCCCAGTCGGATCTGCAACACGTCCAGATTAATCTGAAACAACAAACCAGAGTCCAGGCATATCAGCAATGGCGTGACAGGTAATATCAGTTGCAAGTTCCTAAACAAACAAATAAGGCAGGAAAGAGTTGAGAAATATGGTAGTAAGAACACAGTCGGTGGCAAAGCCAGGAATTTTTCCCAGGAGAGTCGATTAATAACCATCAGTTGTTTGAAAAGTTACATCTTAAAATGCGTATAATAAAAGTATTTAAATAATGAAAAATACAGTAGAGGCAGTGAACGATATTTTTTTCATAGTTGTCCGTAATGGCTTCTCATTTTTTTCATGCTTATATATTAACATGACATGTATACATAAATGAACAAACTAGCAGAGTACAAAATACAAGGAATTAGACAAGCAAGAATGTGTGAATCGTGTTTTGCTCGGTCAAATCTAAAAATACTGAAAGGAAAAGGGCTACAAGAGAATTGCATGCTCAGTGCGAAAAAGAGCAAGAAACTTGGGAATGGATGAGAAAATGGTTGGGCACTAGAACAATATAATAAGAGAAGGAATTCTATCAACACTACCTGATAGAAAAGTTCCACTTTTATTTTAGTAAGTCCCTTTATAGGACAAAGTTCTTAAAAAACACACTAAGTAAAAAAAACACTGAACTAATTCTTTAGAAAAAAGCGCGCATGACAGAGAGAAGTAAATTTTGTGGGATCATTTTAAGTTTTTTAATATTTTTAGTGAAATCAAGTTAGAAATGATACCATGTAACTCGTTATACTCTTAACCAAAATTTACTACCCTTAATATATTTTCCCCTCAATTTAGACAATAATAATTCACTTAAATAGCCTCATCTCAACTACTTGTAAACTATGCAACCTTTGATTAAGTTAATGCATTGTATGTTTGGTTGTGGACCTCCTTTCCCAAAAAGAAAAAAAAAAGAAAATGCATACCACAGTGTACTAAAAGGAAAGAAATGGGAAGAGTGGGTTTGTGAATGGGATGTTTGAGACACTGAGATGGAAAGAAAAGTTTGTTGAGGCTGGAATGATACCAAAACCAGTAAAAATAAAATACAAAGAAGAAGTTTGGAGTAGGTAAAATCATCCAACATCAGATGGCTAAAAATTTGGGAATTCAATTTTTAACTTCTGCACGGAAGGCAATAAGGGAGTTTGTCAAAAATTTGCTCTAGAGAACGCTCAAGTCATACTTAAAATGAGGTACAATTGCAGTAAACTATATGCCAACTTTTTAAGTGTAATTGCATGGTAATTTATTACATGCCAAAAAAAAATCAGTGAAGTTGAGATGGAAAACCTCATCGCCTTTATTGAGTTTAAGTTCACAGAGAGTGCAATATATGTGCTGATGGTTCTCTTGCAACTTTCCTTGCTTACATATGGGACACCAGATCTCCTTGGCCACCTAGCATCAATGTCAGAAAGCTTTATAAACTCCATTTCTTTTAGGTTAGCATGAAAGCAGCAGCAAAAAAAGCTTTATTGATCACAACTGCATTTTCTGTTATGCCCAGTGGCACAAGAGAAGAAAAATAATTTCTAGCAAGAAGGATTCCACAGTCCTAATCTTAATTTCCAACAAGAATATAGATGAATAACACCAGGAGAAGTCAGAGAGGATAAGAAGATATACTTCATACACAAAGCAGAAAGCCTAGGGCTTCTCAATCTCCACATTCTGTCACGCTATCTGTCCTCTGGTTTTACTTAACCACTATTGCATTTGGCATAAGAACAAGCAACAGTTCTATCAATCTTTGGGATTTTTATTGGCTCCTTGAATCTCAAGCTAACTAAGTTGACTCAATCAAATAGTCTTTTTTAGTTTCATCGACTTGGTTAACCATTCTAGCAAGCTCTAACAGGTTGTATTTATTTGGTAATGTTCCCAAGGCTGGGATGGGATACACTAGCTGGGATGTGGAAAATAACATCTAGTGGGCTTAAACCACAAGTTTGTTTGCATGCACTAATATTTTACCCAAAATTGTGGGCATGAAATGCATCTAAATGGCATTATAATTGAGACTAGTAGAAAATCAAACCTACAAATGCTAATGTCAGCTACAAGGATGAGTATTCTGTGCATCTACGAGCATATCAGAGATATAGCCAAGACTTGATAAGACAAATATCTGCAAGCTATCATACCTCCTTATCACTCAATTGCATGTGCTCATAAACAGCATGAGCCAAGTAATCATCTTCTTTGTCTTCCCAGGTTTCAATATAGTTTATTGGTTCTGCATGGAGTTAGAGTAAGCAATTAAGCTCAAAAAACATGATTCAATTGATTAGAACCTCCTTAGCACATAAACAGACATAAAAACATGGGCAAATGCAACACTGAAGGTATGCAAAATTCAGATTGGCAATTAAGTTGACAATCAAATACACTCCCCGCGTGTGTTTTCAGGCGATAGATTAGAAAAACAAGTTGAAAAACATAAAAATGAAGAAAGTGCAATAACAACTGCAAGCAATTAACTTTGCATTTACATTCAAGTTGTATATATGCTGACAACAGAACCTGGGCGTACCCACTCCTATATATATAAGCAGGACAAGATTTATTTGTTTTTTTTTTAATTTCCTCTAGAAACTAGTAATTTTTGTAAGAGAAACACACTAACCTTCTCTAGTTGTCTCATCCCTAAGATCTTCATAGAAGATCTTTTGCATTTCTAACAAAATCTCTTCACACTCGCCTTGATAAGCATCATGAAGACCATCATATTCCCACAACATATCATCATTCGCCTCAAGGGCACGAGTTGGAATTTTCAACTGTAACGACGACGACGACGAATTCTGAATTTTTTCCAGTTCATCAGACACTATGTCCTGGAGAGCATACTTGATAATGTCCTAAACTCAAAAACAGGAAACAGGGGATAAAAATCAAGAATCTCATGAGATAAAAAAAGCAACAAAGAAGAAGGGGTAAAAGAAAGAGAAGATGACCTTATTATCTAAAGATTTAGCATTGGGCACCCTCATTTTCCAGAGCAATCGGGTCCTGTCCTCACGCACTCTTTTGTAACAGTTTTCCCTCAGCTGACAATCAAAAATTTTTGTTTATCTATATAGACAAGTCTAAAAACTCAAAGCATTCATTCTAGAACAAGAAAAAAACCAACCTTGTTTTTCCAAGAGGGGTAACCGTTGAAAATTGATTGGGTTTTAAGAGACTGTCGTTTCGATGTTGGGGCTGAATCATTTTCCGTTCTGTCTTCCATTCTTGCTTGCGAGCTTTCTCCGACAAGTTGCTATGAAGCACCACCCCAGAGAATGGAAAGATTGCACAGCAATCAGAAGAGCAGGTGATGGGTGATGGTGCCTTCTGCTTGGCGGGTGTTGGGTTGGGCTGGGCTGGGCTTATCACTGGAACCCAGTTATCACTTAGTTTTTTCAGCCCTTAAACATTACAGGTTCTATCTTTTTCGGCCCTCAAAAATATTAATTGGGCCGGCCTAAAACCGGCCCATTTGATTCCTGGTCTAAAACCCCCAGATGACAGCGTAGCATGATGAAGATATATGGTAAAGACTTGAGCAACAGCAGATATTTTTTATTTTTGTTTTTACGAGTAAAGAGAAAAAAAAAAAAAAAAAAAAAAAAAAAAACAAAAAGAGCAGACACAAACTAGAAGGAGGATATTACAGTTAATATTATAAAAAAACAGAAAATAAAAAAGGAGATGATAAAACCCAAAACCCTACTGCTTTTGGTAACATCTCCCCCCTAACCCCTTCTCCTCTCCCTGTTTCTTCTTCCTCTTCTTCAACCACCCACCCCCCCTCTCACGTGCACTGACACACACCCCTTCATTTTCACTATCGCCACAATACTGTAAGAGTAAGCAAGCAATCTTCCACTATTCTCTTCCACTCACTCCACAATTCTCATAAAATATCCACACTCATGCCTCCTCCTTTCTTTATTTTCAACTGATTACTACTGTTCTATTCTACTTCATTTGTCTACCCTAGGAAACATTTTGTTTTTCATAGGAATGGAGTGTTTCATTATCTGTGGCTTTAGAAGGAAGTAGAGAGTGATGAATAGTCTATATCAATTTTTTGTTTTTGTTTTTTTTTTCTATCCGAGGATATTTGATTTTCTTGCTGATGGTGGTGGGATTGGTTTGTTTGGTCTGGTCAGGATGTGGGAAATCCAATTTAATTAATTATCGTCAAATTCGTTAACTTAAAGGAGAGGTTCCATCGCAGACAGAAATGAAGAGGAAATCGCCACTCCAGCTTCAAGCCCTTCTGAAATTCTATGCAGGTCTTTTACTATCTCATGAATTATCATCTACCTGCCTTTTCTACATTTTGGGATTTTTCTTGTATTGTTTTTTTTTTATTATTATTATTATTTTCAGCTAATTATAGTTTTTAATTCATAAGGGAAGGGAAGTTTCTGTGGTTTGATTACTTCATAAAAAACACCATTTGCTTTTCCTACTAACAACTCAATTTTCCCAGCTTCTTCCTTCTCTTCTTTTTTATTTGTAAAAAACCCAAATTAATCGCCTTATTTGTTCCCCTCTTTCTGTTGTTAAATATTTTTGATTTGTTTGCTTTTACTAATGTTCTTAAATCTAAACTCTCCCTTGAAATCTGTTCAGATCACTGTGTTGTTTTATAGGCTTTATTATATGCATTTTATATTGTATTCATTTTCTAAGCCGGCGGCAATGATTTTTGCGTGAAGCAGAGGATAAGTATCCTTCGCAAAGGGCCATGGAAGACTTTGCTGTGGTCTCGAACTTGACATTTAAGCAGGTTCGCGGATGGTTTATCGAGAAAAGGAGGAGTGAAAAAAGCAAAAATGAATTGATTGAACCACCACGTTTGACCAAGAAACTGTCAGTTTTCAAAGGAAGAAAGGGAGCTGCAGTTGCTTCTGATGCTAGAAAAATGCTTAAACAGTTGGAGCTGTCCGCTAGTACTATAGTTAAGTCGAACAAACCATCATCTTCAAAGTACAAACATGCACCTTCAGAGGTTCAGGGTAGGATAGGCAAGAGGAGGAAGAAGTTGGTGTTAATTCAGGATTTGCTGACTTCTGATTATATTCTGGGGAAGATATTTCGCAAAGATGGTCCTCCCCTTGGTTTGGAGTTTGATTCTCTTCCTACTAGAGCATTTCATGGTTGTGAAGGTAAAAAGTTTGCGTTGACTTTTTTTTATTGTTGTTTGGTTAGCAATGTTATTGCATTACAGATAAGTAGTTCTTGCTTATTTAAAATCAGAACCGTCTATTGGGTTTTTGTTTATTTGTTCCCTTGGAGATTAAGAGTTGGAAGATTTTTAGAAGGTATTGAAATAAATGCAGGGAAGAGCTTCATGTTTTTGCTTGTCTTTGCTGTGGATTAATGCTCGAATGGTAGGAGAAATATAGTGACCAACTGGATTCTTGTTCCTCTCCTATCATTTATATGAAGAACTTTGAGATGGATATGGATTGTGATTGCATAATGTTTGTACTTCCTCGCTGTCCCAATTTGCACCTCTGTATTTATGGTACTCATACAGCATTTGCATGTTTAGATTCCAGAAATTCTCATCCCGTTCACCAAGAGAACCAAAGAGCAAACAAAAGGGGAAAGGTAGTGCAAAGAATTTCTCTACATAGACAGAGTTTCCCTGCTTCTTTTACAAGGTTTCACATACGTTTGTTTTTCACTTGAAGGTATCCATGTGTGCTGCTTTTGATGATCAAAATTGCAATGAGAGTGCTCCAGTGAAGAAACATGGTATGGGGAAGGGTTTGATGACAGTATGGCGAGTAACAAATCCTGATGGTGGAGATTTTCCCACTGGCATTCATTGTGGTGGCTCTCAAATAACTGTTACACCTCAAATATCAACTCCCATGCCACGGAAGCAGCCTCCTCAAAAAAAGATGCGAAGACAGCCAGTGTCTTCTCTAGTTGTTAGTCATCTAATCTGCTTCTCATAAGATCTTTTGTTCTTGATGAATTATCATTCTTGTTTGCTGTCACTGGATACATTTTAGCATATATCTGTTGCATAGATCAACTCTTCAGTTTGAGCTATTTCCACTTTGCTGACACTGTTTTGCATTTTCAGAAACAGAGAATGCTGCAAAAAGAATTACAGGAGAAGAGGAAGCCTTCTGTTAAAAGGAGGGAGGTAATCATTTTTGTAGTGCTTTTAATGAATTGGAACAGTTCATATCTGCCAATGTGGTAACATCAATTTACCTGTTATGCAGGCGGAATCTAAAAGAGATGAGATCCAGAAGCAGTCCTTCAGGGAAAAATGTGAACTTGCTCTGGAAAGGTTAATGAATCAGGATCGCCTTAATCAATTTGCTATGCTAGTGGATGATGAAGAGCTAGAGCTGAGAGAGTTACGAGCTGGACCAAATCCACTAACATGTACGGAACACTTTGCGGCAAACAGACTTTATGGCTGTTCCCTTTGTAAAGGTTTGTTTTGGCTGTATTTCAGTGTGCCTTAAGAAGTGTCTATGTAGTTATCGCATATAGGATATACTTGAGTTCTTTCTACCAATAAGTGATTTCTTCCAGATGTGCTGGTGAAATTTCCTCCAAATTCTGTGAAGTTGAAGCAACCATTTGCTATGCAGCCTTGGGATTCTTCTCCAGAGGCTGTCAAGAAACTATTTAAGGTGCGTGGAGGATGAATAGCTTTTTAGTGCTTTACAATGCAGCATATATCTTGCTTGAAAGATGGTTGTTATTATCTTATCCTTTTCAGAGAATTCATAATTTATTTCTTACTCAAATATGATATACCTAGAAGCAGCTTGCAACATTTATCCACGAATATGGCCTAGTAATGTATACTCAATGTATCTTATCTTCTTTAAAAACACTTCTATTATGCAAATTGCAAATTGCACTCTTATATACTGGCCTATGATATATTTAATGAGTGCATCAATACTATGTATTTAAAGATTATATCTGAAGATGCAGTGGTTAACATTAATCACCTGCATAAGTGAGTCAAAACTCTGGATGTTTTCTTCTGTGCATAATCATTTTGCTTGTATATTTAGATAGCTTTTGATTAGTGCTTGTCTGATCTACATGATCTTGAAAAAATCACTAATAAAAATACTCCTTTGTGGCTACCTACTTGCTACATTTGTACTGGATTCAAGAAGACCACGGTGATTTATTTTTCTTTTGTGCCGGAGGGGGAGGCTAGGTAGGTGTGGATGTACCAAAGCAGGGTCCTAGTAGTCCAATCCTTTCGTGATTTTGTATAAACAGATGCTCTCAGGCATCAAATCTGCAACCTTTTGTTTGCAACCCCGGTGCATTTACCTACCATTGAATTGGGCAGTACTTTGTTTTTATGTCTAGCAAGGATCCCCCATTTTTATTACATATTAGAGGAAATACTCTCACGATTGACTAAAGTCTCCAAAATTCTCCCTGAATCATTTTGGAAGCCAGTAAAGTCTTATGCTTGCACTTCAGCATGTGAATGCAATCAGCTATCACCTAGTAAAAAAAGCACTTCATCCACTTTCATTAGTGCAATATGCATATCAGAATCATCACATTTGCTGCTCTAATAGCTGTAAATACCCCTCAACACCCCCCCTCCCCAAAGATTAATTTGATTGTCTATGCTACCTTGTATAGGATTTAATATGATTTTCTTCTCTATTAAATTCTCTTGCTGAAGTTAGGTTGGCATGTCTTTTTCAGGTCTTCCATTTTCTTTACACCTATTCTGTTACAGTTGACATATGCCCATTCACTCTTGATGAGCTGGCTCAAGCATTCCATGATAAGGTTGAAACTCTGACTTGTTCTTTTGTTGAACTCGTACTTAACTTAGTTTCTTTTATCTTCTTGCGTTTAAATTTGTTGTCTTTGGTTTCATCTGTCTGTATGTGACTTTCAGGATTCCTTTTTACTTGGAAAAATTCATGTGGCCCTTCTGAAGCTTCTTTTATCTGACGTCGAAACAGAGATCAGTAGTGGACTCCTCCCTCATTTGAGCATATCTTGCAAGTTTCTCGCACTCCTTCACTCAGTGAGTAAATTATATATCTCAAGTCCATGAACATAAGTTTGGTCCACAACCGCATTAATGGTTTTGTTGAATGATCTTGTACGTTAAAGATGTAATTCAGATTGTAGTAGTGTCAGATATCAAGAAATTTTGATATTTTGCTTGCATATGACCCAGCTGTGGTACCAATGAAGACAAGTAAAGCCATGTTGCAACTAACAACTAATAATAAAAGGTCCATGATGCTGAGAAACATGGAAAGTGATTGTTATTAAACAGAAT